CTCCTCTCTGCCCTCTCCATCTCTATCTCCATTTCTCTCAATTGTCAACAATCTTTCTGGCTTCTTCTGTTTTGGGAAATGCAAACGTCTCTCAGGTTTAAAATAGTTATGACATTGGGATTTTTCCTTACTTGGAAGCTGTACAAGTCTTTAAACCAAAAGAGAAAAAAGTGATAGGCTTTTAAAAAGTCCCTAACAAACCATTCTTTGGCAAGAAGCTATGTTCCCAGCCATCTAGCTTGCACATGTTTGTGTATTATGTTGAACCACATAAAATTGCTGATATTTGGCCTACAGAACAATTACATGGTTCAGTCTAATATATCTGCAACCTTATTCCTATAATTTTTAAGGCTGTGGACATAAGACTAACTCATAGATATCATGTGTGTGATATGCCTGCTGCTGGCTTTTTAAAAAAAATTCTGTGGATGCCTGAATTAGATCAGAGGTGGAAGGATGCTTATAGAGAATAAAAGAAGGATAAAAAATAACTGCATAAATTGTCTATGTAACACTTTTCAGAGAATGTGCTAGCTTAGCTCTGCACATACTGCAGGTTAAACTACTGCAACACTTCCCCCTGTTGCACAGGGAATTCATCTTCTATCCTGAAAGAATCCTGATTATGTAAGAGTTCAAATTACTGATTTGTTTTCAAAGTGAAAGAAATTATAATGTCTTTCCCGCCATGTAGAATGAAGATACACTTAATACTAGATGAAAAACTCAATTTTACCAGGGCCGAAACTTGAGAGTGCGGGGCTGGGAGTTTTTGGCTTTGTTTGTACATCATCCAAAAGAACAAATTAATGATTTTCATTACATTGCAAATCTAATATACTCAGCACTGTTCAAAGGTCTCTTTTAGAGATATGTGAAAGAAGCAAACAAAAGTTAATGAACTTGAATATCAACTGAATAAATGTTTCAGTCATCAAAGTATTTTTGCTGAATGCCTTGTTCTAGGCTGGCTGTGCTAGGTGGTAAAGGGAGTACAAAGACTAGTTTCAAGTTCCTTTAAAAGTCTGCTAGAGGCCATAGAAGTGTGTTCATAGGCAGAAAAGAAGTGCACTCTGTGTAGGTTCGATTGAAGGTATTATCTGTGCATCATAATACCTGCTAGGAAGCATTCTGTTTGAGATTGTTATTAGTTGCTAACTGATAACTACCTTCATTGGAATTTGGGCAGTATTGCAGTCCACAGGTATTTCACTGTATTTTGCTGTGTATAATGTGCACCCCTGGTTTGTTTAGTGTTGCCCATGTATAATGTGCATCTTTATTTTTCCCTCAAAAAGTTGGGCAAAAAGGTGCGCTTTCTATACAGCAAAATACACGTAAGTTTATTTCTTGGTGTGACTCAGAAGAGGTATAACCTCACAGGTCTGGATTTAATACAGTGAACAAGAAAATAAATGGTGGTGTATAACAGATATGCTCAGCCTCATGGTTGTCAGCATACTGGGAAGTTTGCTAAGCTTTGGAGAATACGTTTCTTATTTGGGAACTTGGACAGTTTGTCTTAATTTGTTTGAAGTGAAGAACAATATACTCGTATTTTGGTGCTAGTTGTCTCCTTCAGAGGTTCTCAAACCATGACTCTCAAATGGATCTCCTCTTTCCTAAATTGTTTTTTGCTGGGTATTCAGCAGTTGGCATGAAGTGCTAGAGAGTTCATGTAACACTGGCTACACATTGCCCATGGTGCCTGCTATGAGTGAAATTAATTAGACTTGTGCTATCTTAGTCAATTTCCCTCTCAGCAGGTTGTGTGCTTAGAGCTCCTCAGCATCTAAGGCTGATTCTCCAGCTTTCCTAGCTGCTGGGTTGGACATTTTTTTAAAAATTGGAAGAAAGGTAATGTTATTTAAAAAAAAAAAAGACTTGGCTACAAAATGAGTGAGAAACAAAAAAGAAAAAAATGGCTAAGACCAAAGTAGTATTTTTTCTTGTTGGTTGTAATAATGGATCATGGTTCAGTAGCAATAGCTAAGCCATTAAAATAAACTCATTTTTAAATTTGTCCTGTTCTTAGACTCAGAGAATTCTTAAACTGTTAATTGTTAGATAAAATTGAGGTATTTTTAAACTTCAAAACAAACTCAAATTTGTATTTTATGATTGCTCAGTATAGGGCTGAGCTTGCACCCAACACCTCCAGAGCTTAATTTTGTGCTTTTAACTAACATGTGGAATTCACATCTTCATTGCCAGCCTGCCCGAAAGATAATTTCAAGTAGGAATTTGTAAGTTTCACTCTGGCCTCTACTACACAAATAGACGGTCTGTGACAATGTGCTTTCTGTGTCCAGTGCCAGCCTGCCTTGAGCACAGGTGTAGCATTTGGTCTCTTTTCTTGATGTTATCATAGGGCCACGAATTGCATGAACCAAGGAAGCTCAAATGCCAAAGCAGTGCTTTGTTTGCTCAGTTAAGTGAAACAGCGCATCCATCATGTGTAAGGCAACTCCGTCTGTGATTACATGGGATGCTTTAGTTGTAAACGCCTGTAGAGCAGTGTTTGAAACCAGTAGCAACTTGCAGTAGTTCCAGTGGTGGTACTCTGTGAGGGTGCTACTAAACCTTACTCCTCCTCCTCCATGACTTGTATGTAAGTGGTCGGTGCTGTGTATGAGATGATAGATTTTTTGTTCATTTATACCTCCAAATGATTGGAGGCAGTTTCCAAAAATACTTAACATATTTAAAAAGAGTAATCACTTGACAGAATTATAGCAAAGGGGATAACAACTTTAAGTAAATAATAAAGCTGTTATGGAATGAGCATGTAGAATAACCTATAGCTTCAAGAGATAAGGCACAAATTTGTCTCAAGGTTTCTTCGTAGCCAAGCAAAGGGGGCAACATGATGAGATTCATATTGTCCGTCCATAGCTAAACACAAACCAGAATTCAGGAAAGAATTTCTGCAGACAGTGTTTGATATAATGGAACACATCCTTACTTTATTCCTACAGTTAATACAATATGTTTTAAAAAATTAAGCAGAACAGTACAAAGAAAAGTACACACTGAAGTAGTTATCTCAAATCTAACAGATGTTTTTGTATTGTATGTTTGCCTCAGGTCATCCGTATTTTAAAAGAAGTATGAGAGATCAACTTGGAATGTCTTGTATAGTTTTCCCAGTCTCATTCTCCCTCGCTCTCCCATCATGAGTCTGACGTGTAGCTTGTCATTTTTGTTTACTTCTACTGCATGCATATATCTGTAAATAGTATATAATCTAAGTTTGTATAAATAATTTACTACATATGACATTGCAGAAATTGCTTTATTAGCATTGTGTTTAATTTTTTTATCTCCATGGTACTGTAGATCTTATTAATTAATTTTAATTCTAAAATAGAGTTTTCTAGTATATAAAAACACCTCAATTTAGTTACCTTTTCCTTCAAATGGATTTTCAGTTTGTTTCTAGTTTTTTGCTGTTATAAACAATGCTGCATTGAACATCCTTGTCTGTGTCTTCTGTGCCCATATGCGTTTCTCTAGGGCAGTGGTTTCTCAAAATTCGGTTTCAGGTCCAGCATGTCAAGATCACCTGGGAACTTTGTTAGAAATGCAAATTCTCGGGCTTTTTCCAAACCTCTGAATTAGAAACTCTGAGGGTGGTTCTACTTATCAGGTGCTTCTGATGCACCCTAAGATTTGATAACCATTATTCTAGTGCAGTACTTTAGTTTAAAGTAGACTCCCTGAGTCTTAGTGTACGCATATACTCACCTTCACTAGAAATGGCCAAATTCCCATCCAAAATATACTTTCCCACCAACGGCATATGAGAGTTCCTGTATCCCCATACTGGTTTTGTTGATTCCTGTTTCCTTGCAGGTCTGATAGGGGTAAAACGTTTTAGAGCAATTTTGTTTCCTTTTTTGTGAACGATATTTTGATAGAGTAGCTGGCCTTTCTCAGTGATTTTGTAGAAACAATTTATATATAAATTTGTATATCAGTGAAATTCTTTGTCATGTGATACAAACTTTTTGTCTGTTTGGTTTTATGGTACTTAAAAGATTGGAACCAAATTCACCAATTTTTTGAGTGGCTTTTGTGTTTCGAAAGGCCCTGGAGGGGAGAATTTTTAATTGAATTTGATTTGCTACTGGGACACCCTGCTGAAATAAATGTGTAGATGTTATTTGAAAATGGTCTGAGGTTTATGAGAGAGGTCAAAGTTAGAGAGATTTGGGAAATATTTGTGTAAAGGCAGAAATTTGACACTGTTGGGATGGATAAAATTGCCATGAAAGAGAATGTAGGTTGAGAAAATGACTGGGGATTAAACCGTGGGGAGCAATAGTGGAGGGAGAGAATCCGACAAAAGACTGAGGAATGATCAGAAAACAGAGAGGCCAAGAGCAAGTAGAAGAATCTAGAACATTGAATAGTGATGGGCTATAAGTGAGGAGAGGTCTGTACTGGTGCAGAGAAAGGAACACATCTAGGAAAGGGTCCATGTTGCCCTTCAAGAGAGCAGCTAGCAATGGGTTGAGGAGTAGGAGGCTACTCTTCATAAGTCTGTACTGCAAGTGTAAGAGAAGGTGAGACAGTAGGTAGAGAGGTAACAAGATCACTTTCCTTTAGGAGTAGAGTGTGTGTGTCCCAAGTGAGGAGCTAGTGACATAGTTGTATGTGGTGATTGTTCACTATGCTGTCTCCTCCTCAGGCAGCCTTTTCATAGATGTACTTTATATACCCATTGAGTAAATTCGTTTGGTAAGATAACATTAAGTATTGTGCACAGGATTAAAACAGGGTGATATAATTAAGGGACTGGGTTAGAGTAGGTGACTTCTGAGGTTAACATTTAAACTTGAGATCAGAATTCCAAGAAATCATTTGAAATCATTTGATAGGCATAGAGAATTCTAGGCAGGAGACAAAGTTTCCAGTCGCTGGAGGGCCAAACAGAAATAGGAGGATAATACGCCATTAATCTAAAACGTTCTTTTGCTTCTTGGGTCAACCAGGGTGAAGAGAGAACAGAAATCTTTGTCCCCTAACTTTGGAAATTTTGTGTAACCTTCAAACTGGCGATGTCAAGGGTTCCAAGTCCTCCACCTCCGGCAGAAATGTCGAGTGGCCCTGTAGCCGAGAGCTGGTGCTACACGCAGGTGAGCCCCTGTTTTCACCCCGTGAGTTTTGCATCTTGGGAGGGTTTGGTGGATGAAAGGAATAAGATTTCTTTCTACATTGGATTTTTTGCTTTCTCTGGAGCACAGCTGCTACATAGTAGATAGATAAGGTACTTGTCAGCTTTCCAATCCTTGGTTCTCCAAGTGGAATCTGAATCCCCTAGGCCAATGTTTCTCATTGGAGGTTGAAAGGGGGAAGTTTTTGAAGCGAGTTCCACTTATATCCTCCTTGATGGAAATGTGTTCCTCTGTTGGGCAACTCAGAAGGAACCTAGATTTGAGATTTTCAGCCCCAGGCAGTAAGTATGGTGTCAATATCTCAATTGTCAAATATCGCTCTGAGCAGAGGCTCATGTTGGGTGTGGCTTTATCATCTGCTTTCCCAACCCTGCCCACGTTTCCCTCACTTCCCATTCAGTGTTTCTCAAAGTCTGGGGGAAGTTGTGAAAGCAGTTGGTCACTGGGTGAGGGACCTAACGTGGAAAAACAGAGTCTCCATGCTGGCCAAACAACGCCACCTTCCCTGGGGCTGTGCAGAGGGGGAAGGAGGGGGCGCAGTGATCTGATCTTCAGGCTGTTTTATAGGTTGCCCGCTTCCTGTTTAATTGCTTCCTGGTTTTCTATCAACAGATCAAGGTAGTGAAATTCTCCTACATGTGGACCATCAATAACTTTAGCTTTTGCCGGGAGGAAATGGGTGAAGTCATTAAAAGTTCAACATTTTCATCAGGAGCCAATGATAAACTGAAATGGTGAGGAAGAATATATCTAGCTATAAAAATTTTTGTAAAAGTTGCCTGTTTTGCTTGGTTTTACAGCGAGACTGACAAGGATGTAAGATCTTTGGAGACAGGGACTTTGTACTTAATGTATTCCCCAGAGCCCAGCACAGTGCCTTGAATATACAGGTGCTTGCTGTCGGGTTGGCCAAAAAGTCCGCATGTTTTTTTCCACAAAATAAAGACACATTTTTCATTTCGCCAGTAACTGTTGATTTGGATATTTTGAGTATGTCGGCTATCTCCAATGTGGTATAATGTTGATTGTTCTCCATTAATGCCTCAATTTGATCGCTGTCGACTGTAACTGGTCTACCCAACCGTGGAGCATCGTCCAGCGAGAAAGCTCCAGCACGAAACTTCACAAACCACCTTTGACACGTTCGATCAGTCACAGCACCTTCTCCCTACACTGCACAAATCCTGTGTTGCGTTTCAGTTGTAGGGTAATGTGGGTGAGTAAAGAGGGCCGGTGTTGTAAACGATACCCGTGTCTGGTGCGAGCGCCGACCGCCAGGCAAACCTAGTGCGAGTGCTGCTGAAAGGGGCGGTGGTCACTGAGACCCAGCCGACTAAAGTGGGGTGTGAACAAGGACTGACCGACCATCGCCAGACTTTCGGATGGTTCAAGAAAAATAAGAAGTCTAGATTTCAACATTTAATCTCTTGACTTTTGAGTTGCCTGTTTTTTGAAAAAAATAAAGATTTATTTGCTTATGTAACTGGAATGCCCAGGGTGCAGGATGGTTTTGAAGCTTGGTTCGATCCAGCAGCCCAGGGGTTGGACTAAGCACCCCGTCTCTCTCTGCTCTCCACGCTGTTGGCGATCTCAAGTCTAATTCTGTGGTGGTTGAAGGATGACTCGCATTAGTAATGGGCATAACCCACTACCATCCAACAGAAGCCTCTGAACTTCCTCTGAATGGTGTGGCCAAGAATATGTCGCACCTGTACTGATTGGTTTAGGTCTGGTTCCCTTGATCCCTGTGGCAAGGAGAACATGATCTGAGTGGTGGGTCAGTGGCGTCCAAACCATGGGTCCTCTTGAGGAGGAGCAGGCAGTTACGGATGCTCTCATGTGCTCGCTGCAGAGGCCAGAACACATGTCTGTGAACCAGCAGTTTTGACCTCGGATAACCCACTGAAAAGTTAAATAATTCCTCATTTAGTGTTTATTGGCTATGTACTTTAAGCAGTGTACTACTCGGAGCTGAGAGAATGCTTATTCTTAGGCATTGTATTTAAATCTACATCTTCAGCACAATGCATAGAGATGTAAGTGGCATATGCACCCCCTGGAGAGGCACTGGTTGGGCCACCTGTGTGAGAGAGGAGTCATAACACTGGCAAGGCCTAGGGTACATATGGCCTATCTGGTAGAAGCAGTATCTGAACCACATGTAGTTCAACTGACATTTACAGCTTAGCTCAGTTGAACCTATTAAATTTTGTCTGAATTTTGTTTTGATTCATTGGTAACAGATTGGCATTTCTGACTGTATAGCTTGGAGCTATAACCTATGTAATGGGAGTTTACTTTTATCTCTACTTCCTCCATATGCCTCCTTTATTTTAATCTTATAATATTATTGCCAGATAGATAAAATAGCTTCAAACATTTATTTATTTATCTATCTTTTTTGGGGGGGGAGAAAGTGGGAGAGAAACATTAGTGTGTGGTTGCCTCTCATGCACCACCCCCTGGGGACCTGGCCCACAACCTAGGCATGTGCCCTCACTTGGAATTGAACCAGCAACCCTTCAGTTTGCTGAATCAACCACTGAGCCACACCAGCCAGGAGATAAAATATCTTTAAAAGATTATGTACTATTCCCATATTTCTCTTGAATACTTTTTGTCTCCCAAGGGGATATTCAAGGGCTCTTTTTTCCCATGGTTTCACCACAGTCCCAACAAAATGAGGGACTGCCTCTCCTGAGATCGAGGATTAGAATAGCCCGATTTCTAAAATATTTTAAGGGAAAAAAAGGAACTTGGGAGATAATGAGAAAAGAGGTAGAGATGTAAGGGATGTGTTGTCAGATTCTAGAATGCCCTTTATTTTTGTTACTTATTTTTTAAAAGTTGACTCAGGTTGCTCTAGAAAAGGGGTTCCTAAGTGGCCATTCTGTTGAATTGGAATTTCCTGGTTATGGGGCCTGGGTTGGTTGGTTGGTTTGTGTTTTAAACCTCTCCCTCTCTAGATTCTGACGGTCTAGTCCTCTCCTACCGCTTCCCCAGCCTATAGGCATGAATACTTTGAGCATGTTTTTTCCTATCTGTTTTGGACAGGTGTTTGAGAGTAAACCCAAAAGGGCTAGATGAAGAAAGCAAAGATTACCTGTCACTTTACCTGTTACTGGTCAGCTGTCCAAAGAGTGAAGTTCGGGCAAAATTCAAATTCTCCATCCTCAATGCCAAGGGAGAAGAAACCAAAGCCATGGGTAAATGTTCTCTTCTTTGTTGATTCTTTGTTTTCACACCCAATAGCTTCATACACTGACAAGTTGTAGGTTTGATCCGATTTTTTGAGTCACTCTAAATATGACTTTTTTCCCACTTCAGAGAGTCAACGGGCGTATAGGTTTGTGCAAGGCAAAGACTGGGGCTTCAAAAAATTCATCCGCAGAGATTTTCTCTTGGATGAAGCCAACGGGCTTCTCCCTGATGACAAGCTTACCCTCTTCTGTGAGGTGAGTGCCTCTGCCCCACTGTGAGCCCAGCATCTCCCAGGCGCGATGGGTATTGGCAGATTAAGTGTACCGTATCGGGGATGGAGGCTGGGAAGAACCCCCAAGTGAAGCGGTGCCGCGCCAGCGCTATTTACGCGACTGAAAACTGCCATGGTTGCAAGGTTGTTGGGCATCTCAGCTTTCCACTCGTTACTGTCCTTACAAAGACTGTCCTCACTCAGCCTTTGGCCCCAGTCTTGGTATGTGTGATTTTTGACTTGCTTGGGTCAGGATTTTGGCTTTTTCATTGCGGATGTTTTCAGATAGCATTTGAAAGGGACTGTCACGTCATACTGAGGAGAAGGGCAAGCAAGTACGTACGTATATTTGTTTCTTAAACTTGGTGGCTTCTCCTTGAGTATGAAGCCCACATGCATTTTGACTATAGATCACTTTCTTTTCTGCTCTTTGAACTAGGTGACTTATCAGATGTTGAATGTCTCCTGGTTGTCTTGCTAGAGTAATTGTGAAATAGGAAGGCAAGAACCCTCTTTTCTAGAGTGACAGTAATGTAAAGCTCACTCAGTTAGCTGAGAGTTATCTGTAGTCAGCTGGGAGAGTCCTTCTGTCCCCAACAACCTAAGAGCCTTTCTCAGGTTTTCAAGAGAAGCCTGGAAGTAAGATTCCCAATACGAGTAAGTTGTTTCATGCTGTTACTAACACATTTGTAAATACTCATAACCTCACAGTGTAATAAATGAATACAACCTCTATTCAGCTTAGATGTCAGTGTTTCCTAGACATTGCATGGTCAGTGAACCACTTCCTGAGCAGCACCACTTGACGAGAATGACCACTGTCCTTCCATGGGCAGAGTGCAGGCAAGTTCCCTACAATAGGTTCACCCTGTGAGTCAGTGACAGTGCCGAGGGCATGTCACCACATGTGCAGCCGGGAAGAGCGTCCCTTAGGAATCTTGCCCTTTTGCAGAAGAGGCCTGGCCAGTAGTAACACGCTTCTTTTCTGAGTCACAGCTCATTGATTATTTCCACAGAATAGTTCAAGGTGGTTAGGAAGTTTTGGAGGTTAGTTTATGAAAACACCACACTGAATACATAAAATGCTGTTTGCAAATAGCTACCTTCTCTTCTTTCCAGTTTCTGAATAAAAGGAGGAAATACTAAGGTGATGACATCTAGATAACTGTTGCAGTTACTTTCTGTTTTATGAGCTTGAAATTTGAATTCCATGTAAATCTAGCTAGTTATAAACACAGTTGCTCAAGTAAGAAATGAAAACAACAGGTGGTTCTGTGTGAGTTCAGATGTTATATAAACAGTCCATCAATTTAATCTTCACCTATCTGAAAGACCTAAATTCCAGAAAAATTTTAAAATAGTGGGAAATTCTAATTTCTGTTGAAAATGAAAGCCAGTCTTAACTGTTCTCTGAAGAAAGCTGTCTCCTCTAAATATTGCATCTGGCGGTTCAGGCAATGCCGTAACCTTTATTGTAGCATCTTCAAGTCCGCAGTAGGTCCATCCAATTTTTTCTCATATGCTTCCCTCCTCCCCTAAGCTCCAACCCCTGTATTGACATTCTTGATTTGGAAACCAATTATCCTGCCCTCACTTGGCAATCTCTCATCCTGTGGTTAAAACCGAGGCTCTCTCTCCCCCTTCACTTCCCCGTCTAAAATTCTCTTAGGAGAAATCCTGTGGTTAAGTTTAGATTTGCCTTACTGACTTAGAAGGGAAGTGAGATGACACTTTGGAAACGAGGAGATGTTGAGCAGGGAAACGTCTGCTGGGTTCTGCTGATGCCATCGGTTTCTTACCATCGAACCAGGTATGCCATCTGTTCCTCTCACACTTCTCTGTTGGCCACAGGTGCTGCGTGTTGCTTCTCGTACTTGGGCCGGTGCCTAGTGAGACTCAATTCTGTTCCAAGGCTCTCTGTGGACTTAGTAGCATTCAGCACTGCAAGACTGTTGCGTGGGGGCGTGTGTTGGATGTGTGGGTTTTAAAAATGTCTGCAGCTCATCTGAGTTCGTAGTGCTTTACAAAGCTGGGTCGCTCTTTGGTGTGAGTTCTGTCCCTGTGACCTGTTGCTCTGTTTTATCTATGGAAAAAATATATACAAGTTTATTTTAGTTCATATTTTTATTTTCTTTATTATTGGTTTAGTCAGTTTTTTTATTGTTTAGAGGCTTTTGCGGAGTTGATGTCCACATACCAATTTAGATTACGAGTACTCCACTGCTCCATTCCTCACTCAGCCTTTGGCCCAGACACTTCTGTCCTATTGTGATGCAATAGTTTAGTTGTTTCATAAATTTACTTATTTTTTTGTATGTGCCCAGAGGCCACAAGAGAATCCTAAGGTGCAAGACTGAGAACCACTCATTTGTGTGTTAGGGCTTTATTTTAGTAGTTATTACTTTAATGAATATTTAAATGAGGTTAGATTGCTGACTCTGAAAATGCCAAACGGGTGGTCTTGCTTATAATGTCCCACACTGGGTTCACTTTCAATTCTTAGTGGTGTTTTTGTCTGACTGTTAGGAAATGAGGCGATGAGGCGATTCTTCCAAGTTGACATTGCTCAGTTAATGTATTTGGAAGCATTTTCAAAGCATTCCTTGAATCGTCTCTTCCCACAATCCTGTGAGCTGGGTTGTCCGACAGTCAGCTCTGTTATCCTCATTTCGTGTTGCTGGGGAGAGAAGCAGTGCCTGGGGAGGCCAGGTAATTTTTCCCTAACTCCGTGTGCGGTGAATCAGCGTCGGCTTTCCATTTTCTGTCTCCAGTCTGCTGGGCCGATCTGAGTGGAGCCGAATGCCATTCACGCAGGGGATCGTGGGCTCTGCCGAGTTCTCTTAACAGAGTATTTATTTTGGTAATGAAACAGAATCAAGAAAGCTTTACACTTTTAATTTTCTCTTTAGTAATTTGGACCACAGGAAATCTACTTGAAATATTTTAGCTTCTGTTGACACTTCTCTCCATTTCTTTATATTGAGAACAAGTAGCTGTTAACAATGAAAATGCATCTATTCCATCTTCATTGTATATGCCTTTGATAGGTAGAAGATTCCAGCGTTTCTTTTTAATGTTGCAATTATCATTGAAATATGAAATACCATCAGGAAATAAGAAATAATTAACTCTTAAAACATTCCTTTCCTTCTCAAACATAGAATATCCCTTCATAGCCCGGGAATATGATTTTTGCCAAAATTTAAATATGTGGGTCTATTCATTTTTTCTTCTTTATCATTTTATTAATGGATTATTTGGATATATTAGTTGAGCTGTATGAAAATGCCAATATTTGTTTCTGTCCTACAGAAATGACGATTTAGTATGCAACAGTATTATAGGTTATAAAATACGCTAATGTAGTAGTAACCCTACGCCCCAACAGCATCACCAGCACTAGAACTGACCTGTGTTCCCCCGACCCCTTGGACCTGCTGTCTCCCTACTCAGGAGATGCTGAATAGCTGTTTGAATTGTATGTGATCATCTGCTGCTTTATTATTTATATGCCTGAATAGTGTATTTTTACATTTGATTGGTTTCAAGCTGTATAAAAATGGCGTCAGAATATATGTGGTCATCTAGGACTTGCTCTTTTCAAATGTTTCTAAAATTTATATTGTGGAGGTAACTGTGTAGTTCATTCATTCCTGGTGCTGGGTAGTGGTTGTGTGACTGTGCAACAGTTTATTTATCCCTTGTTGATGGACATTGAGAGCGTTGCTAGTCTTTTGATTAGAAGTAGTGCTGCTGCTGTGAACAATCTGCATACAGTCCTTTTCCCCTCAGTTGTTCTAATTACATAAAAGTTAAAAAATATATTTCCATGATTTTTTGACTTTTTATGTTTACATAATTGTATAAGAATTGGCACAATCTTTAGTCTTCTATGAAATTTTCTTTTAAGAAAGAAGGAATTGACTTTAAAAGTGAGTCCCTTTTACAACTTGAAACTCAGGGCTATAGAGCCTTCCTGAGACATTTTCACGCAGTCATTTGTAAGACGACACAAATGTCACCGTCACGTCATCTTCACAGCTGTAGTTCTGAATGAGTCTCCATAGTCAGCTTGATAGGCATTAAAAAAATTATTTAGTTTTTCTCAAAATGGTTTCATTTTAGCAGCGTCATTTGCAGAGGAAAAACAATCCCTTTCTAAGTTAAAAGTTTGGGCTCTGAAGACTCATTCGTGAATGCCATTTAAAATTTATTTTTAATTAAGCGTATTTAATGTCGGTAAGAGGTGCCAGACATTTAGAGCTCTGGAGACTCCAGGCATCCGTATATTTCCAGAACAAGTCTGGCTGCAACAGCAAAGGTACATTCTCCTTCCTGCTGTGTCCCTGTCTGTGTCTAGAGAGAGGAATTGTTCCTGTGAGAGGAGTCACAGTTCTGGGCCCCCGCTCACTGCCAAGCATGCATCTAACCAGCGGAGGGTCCACTGGTAACCCGAGTTTGAAATTCACCTTCTCTCCTGCCAGTTCATTTTACCCAGTCTCGTAAATTGCCGTCAAGTGTTAATGACTTTTGGCTCCTGTCATTCTGGTGTAATTCAGGCTTAGGACCTAGTGCCAAAAGCATTCTCCATTCCCTTCATTGGTCATCCCAAGAGATTCTTGCTATTTTCTATGGGGAAGTTGGCTTGGATTGATTTGGTCTTTTCCTTTTTAAAAAAATGTAATCAACTATATTTTGAAGCTGTAACTGGAAACAGACAACTTCTACTTTTGTTATTGATATTATATCAAAGAAGTAAAGGTATTAATATGAGAGAATGGCTGAACCAAATTAGAGATCTTACATAGGACAAGAAAGAATCTCTGTGTGGTAGTTTGTGCTGGGTTTCAGGCTGTTAAAATAATGCTATAATCTGGCTCTGATTAATGTGCTGTTTCTGCTAAGTATATTCATAATTGATTAACTTGGCTGCTTCATTGCTCAAGACTATAACAGCTCATTTTAAACAAATGAATAAATTTCTTGACCTGATAGTAAGTATCGCACTCCTGCACAGGAGGGACTTTGGGTCATTTGGATGGGGCATTAACTTTTCCTCAGGGTTTATGACTGCATTGAAGAGAATGATTTCCATCTTGAAGGTTAAAAGAAATTTGGGTCATTGAGGATGTTCTTAAGCTGCCTTTCTCCTCTAACTCATAGGAATAGCAAGAGCGGGCAGCTGAGTCTCAAGGCGTATGAATTCCCCTTGGAGTTCAACATTTCCAACCTAATACGATGCAGGAGGAGAAGCAGCACAGTAGTGGTTGTCAGGCAGAAGACTAATCTGCTGAGTGTCTTCTTCAGCTTGGCCACTGAGATTTATTTTATAATGTTATATGACTTACAAATCCTCGTATTTGGTATGCTAACAAACTAATACGACTTTCACTGACCCATCTAGAAGTTACCTTGGTTTTTTTTATCTAGGCTGAACTGTTAATTCAACTGGTTAAAACATGCTGCTGCTGCAGCCATGGTGGCAAGTTGGATTCCTCTTTAAACCCGTTCTCCTCAGTCTATTCCAAAGCTGTAAGTGCATATCTAGCTGGAGCCAGCCACCTCGTGTATCATTGTCACAAACGACTGAGTAAGGGTGTAAATGGTGTGTGATACCCACTCAGTTACCATACCAGAGTGATCTTTCAACCCCAGTCCTGTTCATTAAACTAACATTTGTGAGGAGTACCAGTAATTTATCAGGTCCTGTGGGAGCTTCATTGTATTTTCAAGCTCCAGACCTAACTGAAGTAAGTGAAGTCCTTTCAGGTATACTAGATTTTTCTCTGTAAAGAGTTTAATTTAGCTCTGGCTGGTGTGGCTCAGTGGATTGAGCGCCAGCCTGTGAACTAAAGGGTCGCTGATTCGATTCCTAGTCAGGGCATATTCCTGGGTTGCAGGCCAGGTCCCCAGTTGGGGGTGCATGAGAGGCAACCACACAGTGATGTTTACTCTCCCTCTCTTTCTTCCTCCCTTCCCTTCTGTCTAAAAATAAAATAAAATAAAATCTTTAAAAAAATAAAGAGTTTAATTTAAATGATAGTTTCTATAGTACTTATCTGTATTTAACCTTTTGCTTAAGGTAGAATAAGGTAAATACTTAAGGTTTAACATTTGTTTCTGTCCGTAATTTTCCTCTAATGGCTTTGCCCAGGTTTTCAGGGAAGGGGAGGTGGAGCTTATTAGAAGTTGGAGGAGAGGAGATTCGTGGGGCTCTCTCCCCATTTTCCTTACTGGTGCAGACTAAGTATGATTGTGATAGATCGGATTGCTTGATCCACAGGATGAATCCTTGATTCGCGGAGGTGGTTTCAAGAGAATATGACTGACATTAGTGTGTGGATGTACTGCATCAGTGAGGGAAAAATAATCTCTCTTCCTATTGGGAAGAAAATTCCTGGTAACAAAAGCTTTGGACTGTATTCCCTTGTCTTTCACAGGTGAGTGTGGTGCAGGATTCCGTCAACATTTCCGGCCAGAACACCATGAACATGGTGAAGGTTCCCGAGTGCCGGCTGGCCGATGAGTTAGGAGGACTGTGGGAGAATTCCCGGTTCACAGACTGTTGTTTGTGCGTTGCCGGCCAGGAATTCCAGGCTCACAAAGCTATCCTGGCAGGTTAGTATCCGTTCGTGGGGAGTGTTTGCTTCGGTGAAACAAGGAAAAACAGTGGCTGCATAATCACCTTTTGAATAACTTCAGCCTTTTGAACCAGTGCAAAAATTTGCAACTAGGTATATTTTAAAATTGTGGTAAAACATCTCCATAAAAATGATATTTCTGTTTTTCCTCTCTATAGTGGCCTAGGCTACCATTTTTAAGGAGTGGATGACAGTATGTATTGAATACCTTTGCATCTAAGAACAGGTGTCAAAATGCAGATTAAGATATCAGGTGTTAGTCCCTAGACAGGGACTTAGGGTGCAACAGAGAGTATGTTGGACTCGGGACTAAACTCACATCCAGCTAAGTCCCCAGCCCTGGACGTCTTAGCCCTTTCTTCCACATGAACATGAGAAGAATGAGACTATTGCCAGTGACATGTAGGACCAGGTCTTATTCTTACTATGTGTGGCCCTTCAAAGCTCAACCCTACCGAACAAAAATCTTACTCCTTAGTATTTAATGTCTCTCACTAGGGATATTTAAATTTTTAATTTAGTATCTTTAAGACTAGAAAGACTGACACAGAGGAGGAACTGATAGGCAAGGCCGACTTTATCTCACTGGAAGCACAGCAGTCAGCCACAAACTTCCCTTTGGGCCGTAAGACAGAAAACGGCATGAACCTTCAGGCAACAAATTTCTTACCAAGACCCTCAGCTCCATTATTCTAAAATAATAACATATCTGGTAAAAACCTCTCAACTAGGTGTTACCATGTATTGATAAAGAAAGTCATCAGGATATCAAAATTACAACTAAAATATAGAATAATCATCACTCAGAATCATCAGAAATTGAGTTGAATGGCAGTCTGACAGTCACGGAATTAAAGAAACCACATCCATCCAGACTGGTAAGAGGGGCGGAATCTCAGAGAGCTGGTCCCACACCCACATGTGGTGGCTAAGAATTCAGGAGGGATATCTCAGGAGCGAGGAGTCTTAGTCCCATACCAGGCCCTCCAGCCCAGGGTTCCAGTGCCAGGAAGAGAAGTCCCCATAACTTCTGGCTGCAAAAATGAGCAGAGATTGAGTAGGTGGAAGAAACTACAAGAATCCCAAGCATTTTTTCTTCAAGAACCCACACAGACTCACTCCCTCTGAGCTCCATCACCGGGGCAGCAGCTTGAAAGGCACCAGTGGCATCGAGGGAGGACTCTAAATGTCTGGCTTCAAGGCAGCAGCTGAGGGACAGCTTTCACCAAGAGAGAAAGGCAGGCAAAAGCCATTGTCCCTTTTCTTTCTTTTTTTTTTTTAAGATGTTATTTATTTACTTTTTAGAGAGAGGGGAAGGAAAGGAGAAAGAGATGGAGAGAAACATCATTGTGTCATTGCCCCTTACATGCCCCCTACTGGGGACCTGGCCCCTCACCCAGGCATGTGCCCTGACTGGGAATTGAACTGGCAACCCCTTGGTTCGCAGGCCCACACTCAGTCCGTTGAGTTATACCAGCCAGGGCCATTGTCCCTTTTCTGAGCCCTCCCCCCACACAGCCACAGATCTAGCAGGTGGGTGCCATATCTGAGGCTCCATCGATCTGGCTAAAACTGTTTGCCCTGCCCTGGAGATCTCTCAAGATTTTATCCCACCTAACTTATGGGCCAGCCCACCCAAACTGTTAACCATGACATTTCCATATGAATGACTGGTATTGGCCCATGCTTCACAACTTCCTGAATCCTCTCAAAACAACAAGTGGCTTCAGTGAGCCCCATGCCTGGCACTAGCAGCAGCCACCCTAGATTCACAGCTTGGCTTCGCCTGGGAATCTCCAAGCCCCGCACAGGTAGCAGCCATCTCTGATTGCTTTAGGGGGCTGGCCTTGCTCTGCACCACCCAGGAAACCCCAGAGCCTGTTCACCCAGTGGGCAGCTATGGACCACATCAGAGCACCACCATCCTGCCCCAGAACTGATCCTCCGCAGAGGGTGGTGGTCAGTGGTCACAGCCAGTCCTTGCAGCTGAATGACCCAGGTACATCCCTCCCATTGACCTGCCAACAGCAATCAAGGCTCAACTACAAGAGAAGGGTGTACTCAGTCCACACAAATAGTATACCTCCAGTACCTTGCTTGGGAGATAGGGGAGGCTGTGCCACTGGACCCTACAGGGCACCTACTGCATTAGACCACACTACCAAGACACGGAGTCAAAGCAGCTCTACCTAATACACAGAAGCAAACACAGGGAAGCTGCCAAAATGAAGAGACAAAGAAGCATGGCCCAAATGAAAGAGAGCTCAAAACTCCAGAAAAACAACTAAATGAATTGGAGATAAGCAATCTATCAGGTGCAGAGTTCAAAACACTGGTTATAAGGATGATCAAGGAACTTAGTGGGGACCTCAATGCCATTACATAAAAACGATCCAGTTAGAAATGAAGGATACACTAATAGAAATAAAGAACAGTTTACAGGGAAACAGCAGTAGAGTAGATGAAGCCAAGAATCAAATCAATGATTGGAACATAAGGAAGCTAAAAACAGTGAATCAGGACAAGAAGAAAAAAAGAATCCAAAATAATGAGAATATAAGCAGCCTCTGGGACAACTTCAAGCATTCCAACATTTGCATCATCGCGGTGCTAGAAGGAGAAGAGGAAGAGCAAAAAATTGGAAATCTGTTTGAAATATAATGAAAGAAAACTTCATTAATTTGATGAAGGAGATAGACCTGTAAGTCCAGGAAGCACAGAGAGTCCCACAGAAGATGGATGCAAAGAGGCGCACTCCAAGACACATCATAATTAAAATGCCAAAAGGTTAAAGATGTAGAGAGCATCTTAAAAGCAGCAAGAGAAAAGCAGATAGTTACCTATAGGGGAGTTCCCATAAGACTGTCAGCTAATTTCTCAAAAGAAACTTTGGAGCCTAGAAGGGATTGGCAAGAAATGTTCTAAGTCATAAAAAGCAGGGACCTACAGCCAAGATTGCTCTACCCAGCAAAGCTATCATTTAGAATCGAAGGGCAGATAAAGAGCTTCCCAGACAAGAAGAAACTAAAGGAGTTCATCATCACCCAACCATTATTATATGAAATGTTACAGGGACTTATTAAAGAAAAAGATGATCAAAACTATTACCAATAAAGTGGCAGTAAATGCATATCTATCAACAATTGATTCTAAAAAACAAACTAAGCAAACAAGAACAGAGACAGAATCATGGAAGACAGAGATGGTTGGGCTTTAGGATGGTTGCCAGATGGGAGCAGGGTGGCAGGGAATGGGTGAAGAGGTGAGGGGTTTAAGAAGTTCACATAGGTAGTTACAGAATGGCCATGGGGATGTAAAGTACAGGGTAGGAGAGGGACTGGCCAAAGAGTTTTTATACACATGGTATGGTGTGAAGATTGAGGGAGTGGGTCGTGCTGGGTGCAGGGGGTAAGGGGGGAGAATTGGGACAACTGTAATAGCATACTCAATAAAATATAATTTTAAAAAAAGAAAGTCCAGCTCTTAACAATTCCATGCTCAGCTAGTCCCTTGGCACTGCCAAGAACTTTTTACAGTTAGCCGGCTCCCTTTCTTTTTCTCAACAACAGGTACTTCAAACCTTCACCATTCTCCTTTAATCTACAACTCCTAAAAGAGGACCTTGCCACTTCTTCCGAGAGAAAATTGAGGCCCTTTCCTTTAGCTCTTGCCTCTCACCTCCCCTGCATTCTCAGCGGTAGGCGTGTCCTTCCTTGTGTCCACAGCAGACTGTGCTTTCTCCTCCTGCGTCCTGCCCCGTCCACACTGCCTTCTCAGAAGCCTCCCTCTGCCACGGGCTCCCTGTTACCTGGTGTCTTCACCGTCCCTTTCTCCTGTTGCCTCCCTTTACCCTCAGCCTGTAGACAGGCTCGGGCTTCTCCCTGTGGTTACTCTTTCACTTTTATTTTGGAGCTAAGTTTCTCAAGTTGGTGCATTCACTGTCTCTACTTCTTTCCTCCCACTTATCCTCAGCTCACCTTCGTGCAGGGAAAGCAGTTTTCCAGAGTTACATGACCTGCTAGTTCTTAAACTTGAGGGACTCTTTAGTTCATGTATTGTTTGACTTCTTTCTCTTAGTTTTCTTCTGGATTTCTTGCTACTTCTACTCTGGGGCCTTCCTCCTCTTCACCCATCAGCCCTGTGTTCACTCTGCTTATTCTCCCAGGTGATTTTATTTGTTCTCATAACATCAGCTTCTGTCTGTCCACTGCAGACCTCTAGAGTATCACTGCTTTGGACCCTTCCCTCCTTATTAAAAGTATCAGCCCTTTAGTCTTCAGCTTCTGTAATGTGTTTGTTTAGTACCTTTTAGTCTGTAGACCTTCTGAGATAAGAACAATGAAAATGAATATGCTTTGAAATAGATTAAAACATGGAGGCTCAGAGGATTAAGTGATTTGCCAAAGATTGTGTGGTTAAAAATGGCAGATCTAAAAGTAGTCCTTTCTGACACACTGTAGGTCAGACTTCCAGTTACCTGGTAGCTCCGAGTCCTACTATACGTTCCGTCCGTTCTTCCTCTCTCGGGTGGAGATCAGTAGTCTCAACTCAGACCCAAATCCCTGATTTATTGGACAACGTGATAAAATTTGAATTCTTAGCCACCATAACTTTCATGGTTAAAATTAAGTTTACTTATTATTTATGTGTTCATTAGACTAGAATTGGGTATTATTTTTTTTTTCATTATTCCCACCCCTAAGGGAAAGAATTAAATTATCCCTAATGAGAGACATTAAATAGTAAGGAATAAGATTTTGTTAGATAGGGTTGAGCTTTGAAGGGCCACAAATGATTATAATATCTAAGACGTGTTTTGCCTCTTCGGGCTGTTATCCTCTCTGCTGAGAACGCACGCCTGGACGGAGCAGAGCACTTGCCATAAACAGACACGCTGCATCGCGTCGGTCAGTGCCATTCAGCCCTGTTCGTGACCTCCTTGCTGTGTGGTCTCTGAAAGTGGGGGAAGTAGGTGTCGTTGTTCCAGGCAGAAATCTGGGTAGCAGAACATCCTGCTTAGACCCCAAGGGACCTTCCATTTGAACCCCCAGATCTACCCAGAGGATACCATTGTCATCCAACGTAGGTAATTTGAGTAATTTCCCTAAACTGGGAATGGTTGCGATCGAGCTAATCAATTTTTTTGGAAGTAGCAATTTTCCCCCCTATATACTATAATTATTTACTTACTAGTATAATGTAAAAACAGGGGAGTTTTATAATTCTGGCATAATTTGAGGCTAAGACCCTATCCTGTACCAGTGCAGCAGGGAAGCAAAGGACCTCCCCTACATAACAGGAGAGCCAGGAGATTCCAGGGTGGTAACCACATCTGTGTCTGTGCCTTTCCCTTTCCAGCCCGTTCTCCGGTGTTCAGTGCCATGTTCGAGCACGAAATGGAGGAGAGCAAAAAGGTATGTGTCGGGATGAAAGTACGTCTTTTAGCTGGGTGACCAGATTCAGATGGTTTTTCCAGTCTGGCAGAAGGTTTATTTTTCTGATTACTTTTTCTTACTGGGTTCCTGAAATGGAATACAAATCCCCAGAGTAGACACTGAGAGCAGAGAGGTGGTCCAGGCGGGCTCTGGGAAGAGCAGGCTCACGCGTCCCCGGGCAGACCGTCCGAACATTCGAGGGTGCGGGTAGCAGACGTGTGTTTCTACTCAGGAGAAGGAAGGTGGAAATGAAAGGTACAGTTGTCTGGCTGTTTTACCACACACTGTTGTGGTAAAATAAAGGCAGTACCTATGATGGAGAAAGGCTGTTGGAGTCCAATATGACAAAGAGCAATTTTCCATCCATATTAGGTTTTGAATGATTCTCTCCTCACCTGTGCTTAAAATGAGACGTGTTTTGAGCCTCGGCCAGGTCGCTCGGTCGCTCGGACCATTGTCCCACATACCGCCGGGACGCAAACCGGCCGGTGTTTCCCTCCCACACTCGTGTTCCCCTCCTCTCTCCTGCTCCCTCACTCCCGTCTTCCCTCTCTCTAAAATCAGTGAACATGTCCCCCGATGAAGATTTTTAACAAAGAAGAAGAAAGTGGTTTAGGGAGTTTTATTCTGTTGGAATGTTTCTCACTTTCGGTTTTTCTGCCTCAGAATCGGGTTGAAATCAACGATGTGGAGCCTGAAGTCTTTAAGGAAATGATGTGCTTCATTTACACGGGGAAGGCTCCGAACCTGGACAAGATGGCTGATGATTTGCTGGCAGCTGCTGACAAGGTGAGATGAGAACAGAAAAATAATCACAAAACTAGGAGTCTCTGTGACCTCTGGAGTTTCACGACGGGGCTGCTAGGTTGCATTGTAGGTAAGATGAGCTTCTGTGCTAGTTTGGCTGGACAGTCCCGGTCCACGCTTGGTCACAGCACAGTTACCGACAGCACCTTTTTATTTCCAAAAGTAGCCTGCTTCGAGCGGTGAGCGACACGGTCGCCCTGCCTGCGGAAAAGAAGAGTGCGTTTGCCGCGCGCCTCCCGTCCCGACCCCATCTCGGATTTAACCATAGTGAGACCAAAGGCTCGGGTGGTCCTAACGTTTGGATTCATAACTTATAACTTGGCTATATGATTTATAAAGTGTTCTTGAGTTCACTAACTTTTATTTAAACTTTTTCAAGAAGAGAATAATCTAACCAGTGTACTGGTTTAACTTTCCCCTAAGTAGTTATTGAAATATTCAAAATTATAAAATGATTAAAGCTCTTTGGGGAAAAAGAGATACTACTACGATAAATACATACTTTGATTGTAGGATGCATTTTGATTTGAGAAAAGGTGTGAAAATGAAAATGTGGATCTTAGCAAGGAAATAACGGTGACCACCTGAAACAACGTGCTGGTATCCCCACAGTAAGCTTGGGGGGAACGGTTCGTGAGATTCTGGGTCTCACCAGGTCACATGGGGTTTGTGTGCTGCTGTTTCGGTGCAGGATTTCTCAGGACCTTCGTTTTGGTATGTAGGGTGCACCCTGAGTTTACTGGACGGGAATAGGATAGCATTTCTCCACTTTAGTTAACCCTGGACTTCTTTTCCTCAAGGATCACCCCTGGGATTCGTGTTCCCCCAAACACACCTTAGAAACCTGACTTTCATTGTGTAACTACATCAGAGAGAGCTCAGTGACCTGCCCTCCGTGGCCCCGTGGCCGGAGGAAACACGGTGCAGGTGTGCGAGCGATTCCTGTTTACCCCGAGGAAGCTTCTCTTGCACGGGGAAGGGGAGCCGAGGCAAGGGGTCGGAGGGCTTAGACCTGACCAGTACGAAACCCTGGGAGAGAGGCGGTTCTCTGCCGGAAGTGCCTCCTCTTCCTGCCTTGAGGCTGCAGCACAGTCTGAGGGCAGAGCTGGCTCTGACGTGAGGGCGCAGAGCCTTTCAGGGTTTGCTCGTGGGAGCAGTCTCCTTTCCCCTTCCTGTGCGTCCCTGAGGACAGAAGAAAGTACCTGTGTTTACAGTGGATGTTTTATCTTTATTGATCTGCTTTTTGGAGTACTTGTAGAGGATAAGGCATGTAAGCCCAATCGATGCTGCAGATGAAAAGGATTGAATAATAACCAAATCCTCCACCTTCCAAGACTTGATTAGCACAGCTGAGCAGTGCAGACATCCCACGCCCTTCCAGTCCGGCTCAGTTCTGACCAGAGGAAACTTGCTTCCAGTGCGGACAGTAAGGAAACAGACCCTGTGAGCTCTGGGCCTTTGGCTCAGGTCAGGTGCGGGAACGTTGAGGCTGAGTCGCAACCTCTCAGGGCCACGGTCAGACAGTCCGTGGCCCTGGGTTTAAATCTCTGCTCCTCAGCCGGAGCACCTACTGGGAACCTGCTGTGGGTGCTCAGAGCATGGGGATCAGCCTGACCCGACGCTCGGGGGGTGGTATTTTCAGTGCAGTGTGTGAACTTGTGAGTTTAAAAGATAAAGCGGTTGAATCACAGCAGTGTTTTATATAAATTTATGAATGAGAAGTAACTAAAGGGTGTGTTTTCAAACTTTCCCCTTAGATACTCTTTGCTCCAAGCTTATTTGAAACATTTTTACCTTTATACCTCCTTGTGAGCTTCAGGAAAACAGAAAAAGAAATCTTTCATGGAAGGATCTAAACATCTAGAATTTACCCTACAGGCTGAAACAGCTTCTTCTGAGCTTTTCCAGTCTCCTGGGAACATGTGTAATTAGACCAAAAACAAAACAAAACACATTGGCCAGGCCTGGGAGACACAGTTGCAATCTCTCGGGTAAGTACTGCCATTAGGCAGGTTTTTCAGAAGTATAATTAAGAAAAAAACTTGGTCTCCCAAGGGACAAGAGTGGCTACTTTTGTCTAATTGTACAGTAGGGATCAGAGGTATTCACCAAGTCCTTTTAAAAGAATGAATTGAGAAAGGGCAAGAAGAATGTTCTGTGCAGCACAGTGTAAAACTGAACATTTACTCAGCCTTTTCCAGCCCTTAAAACAAAAACCTAATTTCTTGCTTGCCTAGTGTCATTCCTGTTTTCCATGGAAACTGTTTTCCAGTTACTCAAATGTAAAAAATTAAAGCTGCACCAAAACCAATAAAACTCTCTTTTTGCTGCAGGAGGTCACAGCGCCAGCAGATAGGCCTCCTCACCCAGGAGCGATGAGAATAAAGCTGCCCTGGTCTGATTGCCATGACTCAGCCCGGAGGAGCGCTGCGTCACTGCGTTCTGGGCCCCTTAGACGGGACCTGTACGGAGACCGGATACCCTCGATCAGACCCCTTTCCCATGACCTGATTAACGACTTTTTATTTTGTGCCTTCTTTTATCCCTTCCTCCTCCTGTCCCTGAAGTTCCTTAGTAAATTCATAATCTCATATTTGAGAGCAGGGAGTACAGTTGCATCAAAACAAGTCAACTAAATCAGATGTGCCCAGGATTAACCCAGACTTTCATTTCCAAAGCCTTTGTACCCTTTACTTGGAAGGTAGGAAGTGTTCAGACTGAAACTGGATCCAGGGTCTTTGTTGCTTTGTTCTCTTACCCTGAGAATCTTAACCTCAACCCCAGTAAAATAGGACTCCATTTATCCTTCTCTGTTTAAAAGGTGGCCTTGGTTGACCCTCATTCAGGAACAGCTGGTGGCAGAGGTGCTGGTGAATGTCACCGCAGGGCTCCTCTCCACAGCCTGGCGGTCCAGTTGGGAGGCCCTGCCGGGCTAGTGACAGTGCTGAAGTGGACAGGACTGTGCTTCACTCTAAGCTGGCTCTAAACAAAAAGGTTGCAGAAATTTCCAATGTAATGTCCCTGGTGACTTGAAGCAGAGAAATGCCTCCTTGTAAGGGTAGAAACACTTTAATCACAGTTGGGACAGGGTGCACTTGGGGATGCAGGTCTACTTCATAATTGCCTTTTTTCTCGCAGGTAGACCGTAGGACTGGAGTGGTGGGTATGCAGGCTGTTCTGGCCTTCGGAGTGTGGCTGTGTTTGTAATTGCAGCTGTAGCCTTCTCACAGCCTGCAGCTTTGCTCGGGCGTCTGCGACACGATGGCACGGCTGCGGAGAACAGCCTCAGTAGCGCTCAGCCCAGAGCGACGCCTGCTCTGACCGCGGTGCCTGTGTTTTCCAGTATGCCCTGGAGCGTTTGAAGGTCATGTGTGAGGATGCCCTCTGCAGTAACCTCTCCGTGGAGAACGCTGCAGAAATTCTCATCTTGGCTGACCTCCACAGCGCAGATCAATTGAAAACTCAGGCAGTGGATTTCATCAACTAGTGAGTTGGCGTCTTCAAAGTCCTCCTTTCAGGGTAGTTGGGATAGCTAGAGGAATGAGAAAGACTTTGAATTAGTGAGTAAAATAGACGAGAAGCGTCATTAACCTCTTAGTAGTAAGTACAGAATTTTCATCTTTCCCTTCATCTGGACAGTGTGGAAGATGGTTTTGCTTTCATGGGTCTAATCTGATTGCTGAGTGAAGAGTTTCACTTCCTTGTAGTGATCAGAGTTGGTGGGAACGACACTTGCCGGCCAGAAGGGGCTGTGTGCCACAAAGGGCAGCATCTTTCCCGCGCAGGCGCTGGCTTGGGGAAAGGCATGTAGATCTCGGGGCGAGCAGAAGTGTGTTCTTGTGAGGGAGTAAGATCCACCTCATGGTTCGTCATGGGACGAGATGAGGAGAAGAGAAGGGACCACCAGGAGATGAGGTGGTTAAATACAGTTCTGAGAAAGAGATGTTCCTTCCAGAGGATCTGTGCCTTCAAACTGAAATGACCAATGACCTGGCCATATCCCGTGCGGAAATAATTCTCCGTGGGGTGCGCTCCATTCCCCTGCCCGCTGGGAGGCAGAAGTTGGAGAAAGCCCGAGGAGGAGGAGCAAGCCAGACCAAGCCCTCACAACCGCAGTTCTGGAGTGAGGCGGGTCTAAGAGGTTGCCAGGGGGGGAATGAACGTTATTCCACACAGAAAGGGCCCCCGAACAGGAAGTGATGTCCTCTAAGTCTGTCTGTAAGATTATTTGAAGGTTTTATTTACTTATCTTTAGAGAGAGGGGAGAGAGGGAGAGAGCATCGATGTGTGAGAGAAGCATCCATGTATCGGTTGCCTCTCGCGTGCCCCCAGCCAGGATCCTGGTCTGCAGCCCAGCCATGTGCCCCAGTGGGGACCCTTCCAGTCTGCAGGCCAGCGCTCAGTCCACTGAGCCACACCAGCCAGGGCTGCAAGATTATTTTAAAGGAGTTATCGATTGAGGCAAATAACCTCAAGAAGGGGACCACCAAATGGTCCTAGTGAGTGCTCCCTCTGTGCTGGAGAGGTTGTTGATGCTTTGTAGAGTTAACTGTTGGGTGAAGTGTGGTTAGCACCCCCTCCTTTTTCATAATCAGATAGGCCCCAGGCTCTGCTCTGCCTTCTGGTTAGGGCACTAGTAAAGGGCAAAGCTAGAAGGAAGCTCAGAGCTGTCCCTTCATTAGCGACATAAAGAGCGTGGACAGTGTAGCGGAGAGCCTGAGGAGCAAGCACTTCACCTTGCAGCTGATAATGTGGTGGTGCAGAGTTCTGGGTTTCAGAGTTCAACAGCCGCAATCTGGTCAACTCTGCGCACTGTCTAAACAAGCAAATTCTTATGCATATTAAAGGCTTTCTTTTTGAGTGTCTCTTGTAAACTCTGGGAAATTAGGCTGTCTAGCTGGCTGTTCAGTTATTCTTCACTTACTCCTTTGGTAACCCAGCTCTCCGCATTTCTCCTAGTCACGCTTCGGATGTCTTGGAGACCTCCGGGTGGAAGTCCATGGTGGTGTCACATCCCCACTTGGTGGCTGAGGCGTACCGCTCTCTGGCTTCAGCACAGTGCCCCTTTCTGGGACCCCCGCGCAAGCGCCTGAAGCAGTCCTAAGATCCTGCTGTCGTGAGACTCCGTTGATTTTCCTGAAGCGGCGGCCACTGTTGCTGCCACTGACCACCAGGTAGACAGCGCAGTCTGTGGAGCTTTGACTCTGCTGTGGGGGAGACTGCGCTGTGGCCCCAGACTTTTAAAGCAGCACTAAATAAACTTGGGGAAATGGGGGGAGGGAAGGGCCAGGGACTCGGGGCTGTTCGACCTAATGAAAACCCTGTTGCTGTGTCACTGTGTTCCCTTTGGCCTGGCCGAGTGCGATCCCGTGGGATTCGGTTTAGGCGCTGGCCCTGAGGACATCCTGGCGGCGTGGTACTTGGAGAAACCTGCCTGCATCTGACGGAGCAGAACCAATCGTCAGGGGCCTGGAGCAAAAGGAAAAAGGAAGAAGGACATTTAGTTTTAAGACAAGGGGAAAGAAAAGGAAAGAAGAAAGGATTTTTGCAGAATTTCTCAAAAATCAGTTTGTGGATTCCAGTACTATTTATATTGAGAGAAGTTTCAGTCCATCCAACTGTGCTAAAACTGGGATATTTGTGACAAACTCCTCACCACCCTGCGAGTATCAGAAGAGCTCTTTGGCCGTTAGCACTTACTGTTTGCAAGAACAGAGTATATCCTTTTGTCCCTTTATGAAAAGTGACGAGTGAAGGCGAGAGGAGGAGGTTATTTGATCTGGAAGATGAGTGTTCTGATGTGGTGGCTTTTGCAGAAAATCTTTATTAGTGTTGAAAACTGGAAAAAAAATAATTCACCCAGAATTCATACTGTCTTGACAAGAACTATGGTTCTCTGTTTTTAGATATTGTGGAAAATGTTTTTTGGCATTTTTCTCTGATTTTATTTCTTGTTCCTCCCCCACCCCCTTTTCTTAAAAAAAAGGAAAAAAAAAACACAAAACAAAAAGAAGAGAAAAGCAAATTTTATTATTCATGCTGTGTGAAAAAAATCCCAGCCCTGATTGCTCAGCCGTTCGTACCTGCGCCTGCGCAGGAGCCAGTTCTGCCCCTTCCAGTTCACCCCTCTTCCTGCGGGGGAGAAGTTCCAAATGTTAATTTTTTTCTTTTTGAAAATATAAATAATGACTATTTTGTACTGTGTGGTATCTCTGGTCTTTTGTTTCACCCATCTGAGTTGTCTTTTGGGTCTGAGTTCCTTAAGGGATTTTGAAGGCCTCGGCCGATCCTTCAGCTGGCAGAGATGGGGTCTGAAATACCCGAGCAGTGGGGACTTGCTGCATCTCCCTGATCTCGCGCTGCCTCCGCGAGCCGCCAGCAGCCGCCAGTCTCTTGTCCTCCCTGAGCTCATCACAGCCCACACATTGTGCTGGGGGTCAGGCTTCTGCCTCTGCCAAGGCAGGTAGTGCGAGTGGGCTCTTCAGACCCGACACATTTTAAGACCTCCTCTCAATGTCCTTTCTAGTGAAGTATAAACACATCCAGGGGCCGGGGGCGTGGAGATTAAATAAAGGGACGTTATTATCTCCGACTGGGTCTGTCACTGACTCGAGGTGTCTTCAGAAAAAGGGATGTCTGAATGCCCAGTGAGCTCACAAGAACGCCCCGGGCCCCCTCTGCCTTTCGCACGGCAGTGGGGGATGGGACGGTGGGGGGCACTGGGGGGCGCACTGGCCATCTGGCCAGGCGATGTCTCAGTTGGCCTTAGATGGAATGTCAACTTGTTTCACTTTCCACTTCCCTTCAGGGACTGTAGCCTTCGTGGATATTTCAGTTTCCATTTATCTGGCTGCCCCTGCAATGGAGTAAATATTCATTATCCGTATAATCAAAGACAGGATCTGCTTATTGGAAACCGACCACTCCATCGCATTGTTTGGTTTCCCCCTAAGGGTCACCTGTGTGAGGAAGTACTCAGTTCTCCGTGCTCTGGCCGCTGTCCCTGTGCCTCCGCGGTCCTCGGCCTGCAGATCAGCGCACAGCCCCAGGGGTCGGCAGGCCGGGTCTCCCGTGCCACGTGGTCTCCGGGGCAACCGAGTTCGCTTTTGGCAGTTCTCAGTTTTCAGAGAACGGTGCACACGGTGTCTCGTGAGCTTCCCAACAACTTGAATGTGGTAGGACGAGTGACAAACGTCTTCCCATTTTATAGATGAGAGAAGTTAAGGGACTTGCCTGAGATCACAGCACTGTTGAGTGACAGTCCTTCTAATGTAGAACCCTGAAAAGATTGTCAGCAACGGTAGCAAGTTCCTTTTGTGAAATGTTTAGGTACGAAGTAGGAGGCGGAGCGTCGTCTCTGTGGGAATAGCAGGAGCAGAGCTCTGGAAAGATGCCTCTGCCTGCTCGCTCTTCAGCGGTTCCCGGAGGACAAACCAGACCTCAGATGTGCTTTCTTCCTCACTCACGGAAAGCTGCGGGTTTGGGGCGGGTGGGTTCGGAGAAGACGTCCTCAGGAGGGCAGCGGTCCCTGCACCGAGCTCCTGGCAGAGTGGAGGTCTCTGCTGGGATTTTCCCGTATTTATGGAATTTCTAATGTGGGCTCTGCTGTGGGCGCAAAGCCGTTAGGGTTTCAGGTACAGGTGAAGCTACTCCGTGCTGCTCTGTCATTGTTACATTATTTCTGGACGTGTTTGTTTGTGTTTCAATGACACAGCTGAAGCCATCTGGTTGTGACAACATCAGAGCCCCAGCACACAGTTCGTAAACCTCCCTCTGCCACCGCCCCCTCCCTCAGCTCCCCCACATCTGAAATTTAATTCACGTTAACTCCACAATCTGGGGCATGTGCTCTCGCTGCAGAGATGGCCGTGCCAGTGGAACAGTTGGAGATTTCAATTCCGCAAGGAGATGGCTTATTTATCGAAACGATATTTCAGGCAAGGAGTTTCAGAGATCCTTTGGTGTCGCTGTTTTGGGTCCAAATTGAGTATCTGGTATCACTGCCCCGCTCCCCTCCCCCTGTTGTCAGCCCCCTATATCTGGACATGGGGACAGTGAGCCATCCATGGAGAATTGTCCCCATTCCCCGTGTGGAGATGAAACCTCTCTCTTAATGGGCATCTCAACCACCTTTATGGGTTTTAACTTTTCAGGTGAGAGACGCCTTTTCCTCTTCACTGCTAAGTCAGCTAGCTGGCCTTTCAGGCCTTAAAGAGAGTCCTCTTTTTAAAAAAAATTCCAGCCAGAGACATTAAGATCTTTTCTTTGGCCAAAAAGATCTCTGCCTTGACCACCACTCCGCGCATGTATTTATGAATCTGGTTGAAACCTATGACGGCTTCTCCGTACTGTGCGAGCCCCGTGCGGACGAAGAGAAGCAGCTGCGTGCAAGCAGAACAGCAAGCGGAGGGGGGCTGGGTCACACTCTGAAACCGACTGTTGCTTTGTTCTGGCTCTTCGGCTCCTGCAAAAGAACAACGAGATTCTCCCAGCATACTGTGTTGGATCCTTTGGTTTATCTTTGTCAAAAACAAACCCTTGGCTGGAGCCCAATATTATTTCCCACAACTAATTATCTTTTTAATCAGCCTGGACCCAGTGCGTTTCTTTGTCTCGTGACTTTTCACCGAAGTCTGCCCGACGTCGTTTAGATTCGTTTCTGACGGTTGGCTGACTCATCTCACATTCAGGTGAGGACCGCTGGCCTGCTCTGTCTGCACGTGTGTGCGCAAGGTGGATGTGTGTTTCCCCTTTTAATCTCAGAGGCGACTGCGCCACGGTGGGGCCTTTGACCCCAGAGGTGGGCACCTCGTGGACACGGTGAGCAAGAAAGTGAATGCAGGACGGTCAGCACTTGGGATAATGAGCTGGGAGAACCAGAAGCTTTGACCTCCAGATGAGGGCGGAAACTTGAATGCTGTTGACGGATAGGTCTTCGTGCCACTAAACTGTTAGCAAGGTGATCAACCCCCCGCCCCCGAAACCCTGTAATGCTAGGGCGGAAGCTGGCATGTGGAATACCGTTTGGTTCAGATTCCTGCAACCCCTAAGAAAAAAGAAGTTTAGACTTGAGGGAATTCAGTACAAGCAACAAATGGTGAACAAGTCGAAGGGGATCACCTCTAGGGGGAGAACAGGGAGAAAACACTATGGAGATAGAATAGGTACGACCCGGGTGTGGGAGGAGCGCAGCACCTGCCCGCGGTTTCCAGACCTCGCGGGAGTTGTGAGCACGCCCCGGTGCAGCTCCCGTCCATCCCAGCAGCAGAGCTTGGGAAGGTGATAACATAACTTCCTCAAGGTCACTCAACCTGGCCCCTGGCCAAGGAGCAACAGAAGGCAAAGGAGTAGTTTCGGGGCATAGGTCCAAGGAACAGAGTGCGAAAATCCAGCAGTTTGCCAGGCAGGACAGAGGACGTACCTGCTCCTACTGCGCAGTTCAAGTAAGGGGAGAGTTTCAGCCCTCTCGAGCCCCTTAAAGGTGAGCTGTGGACAGACTGAAGAGAAAAAGAGGCCCCCCCCCACATAGTTCACCTTCCTTTCGTGTCTGAGAAAACAGACATCCAGAAAACTGCGAGGACATACTCAAGGTCACAGAAATGAAAACTCAGGCCACTGATCCAACAACCGACGGCCGAGCACGAGAAGGTGCCAGACACTATGTGAGGCTGGGCTTGCGGCGGCGGGTAGGGTCTCTGCTCCAGTCTGGTTCCATCCAGTGAAGGAGGCAGGGGGACGGTCTGGGGGACGGCCTGGGGGACTGAAAGCGTAGATACTGACTTGACGCAAAAGGAGGTCAGTGGTTACCTTGGAGCAGTTTCTGTCAAGTGTTGGAGGCAGAAGCCAAGACCGCCGAGAAGGTAGGCACACAGATTGCGAGCTACTGTCTCCAGAAGTTTGGCAGGGAGAGAGGAAGGGAATCTCTCCCACCCACTCCTAAGAACTTATGTCTCAATTTAGTCAACACATTTATTTTTGTCTGGAAGTCATCGTGTACAGGTTGTTCCATAAAATTAGATACTTTCATAACTGGTATTTGTAACAAAAGTCATGTTTATAGGATAATTATAGCTTTAAATTGAGAAGAGACGAGCACCTTCAGCCCTGCCACGATTTTGAGAATGGTTTCCTAAAGACAGACACGTGTGTCTGTACTTCAGCCTGTCCATCATCCAAGTAAAAGTTTGCCTCACGCTTACTGGAAACCCCTCAAATGTTTTCACGAGCCAGTGGCTTGGTCCGTGGGGTGCTGCCAAAGGAATATCATCCACCCCCCCAGATACGCTCTGATCGGTAGCGCTGGTCAGTTTCCGTGGTGTGGGTGCTCCCCCCCGTGGCCCATTTCAGACCTCAGCATGCAGGGGTGTCCAGCCTTTTGGCGTCTCTGGGCCACACTGGAAGAAGAAGAATTGTCTTGGTCCACACATCAAATACACAAACAACAACAAAAACAATGTTTTAAGTAAATTTTTTAAAAGACTTTATTTATTTTTAGAGAGGGAAGGGAGGGGGAGAGAGAGAGAGAGAAACATCAATGTGCGGTTGCTGGGGGCTGTGGCCTGCAACCCAGGCATGTGCCCTGACTGGGAATCGAACCTGCGACACTTTGGTTCTCAGCCTGCGCTCAATCCACTGAGCTACACCAGCCAGAGCTTTAAGTAAATTTATGATTTTGTGCTGGGCCACGTGCAGGTCGAGGGTTGGGCGCCCGTGCCTTGGCGCAGAGTCGGGGAGGGGCGCACAGCTCACCCTTAGCATTTCCCCCGTACGGATGAGCACACAGATGTATGAAACCTCAAGAGCACGCACAATAGCAGAGTATAAAATAATTAGGAAGAGGTGAATTCTGAGTGTTACCTTTGCGATTAGTCGTATGTTAATACAACTTAATTTTTAACTGGCCACTCGTCAACGAGCTCTTGAAATGCCTCAGGATTTGACCGTTGGCTCTGGAGGGCCAGTGTGAACGAGCCCTGACACACCACTCACTCGCTGGTGTGGTCCCACGTCTTCCTGCCAACACCTGTGCGCCTCGCCGTCTCCGGGAAGCCCGCACTGCCCAGCTCGGCGGCAAAGTGGAGAACCGCTTTCTGGCATCTGTAGGTGAATCGGCATTGCTGCATGGACCTATAGTCACATGAACACATTTTAATCTCTGCTTAAATGGTTTTTTCTCTCCCTTACCAGTGTTGGAAGTGT